ATCCCTACTTAGTCACACTGAGACTATACTTACTGAAATCAATGGGACTTAAGCTAGTCATGACTAGCAAATCTCAGCAATTTTAATAGGTCTACTTGCAGAAATTATGGGATTTGAAGGTGAATCATATGGAAACCACAAAATTTAAGGAAGCCTGATCTCCTGCCAGAAATGTTACAGATTGTATTTAGAAGCTGTGAGTGGTTATCATGAATTACCTCCCATTCTTCACAATTATTTTCAGAACAGAACCTTCCCACTGGCAAGACTTCTGCCTGTTCTACTTTACTGTGTTTTAGATTTACAAGGGGATGGCAGCACATACTAAAATGCAGACAGCTCTGATTCATAAAGTTGCTGCGGGGAAAAGCTATGTACAACAGCAGTTACCATGCAAAGGTGCTGCGTCTTGTTTCCCTGATAGTCTGCTGAGCTTAATTACACCAAAAAGAAAAAAAAAATTAAATGCATCCACTCAATGTTTTACACAATACATCCAAGTATCACATAGTGAACTAATGTTTTCCACTGTTTCTAAGCATTTTAAAGACATGAGACATCAAAGGCCAGTCTCATTTATCCCTGGCATCTTTAGTTCTTCCAACTGCTATAGGAAAGCTACATCTTTGTTAGGGCTGTTAAAGCCAGCTGCGAAGGACAGGGAGCTATATATATAGTCCTGGGGAAAATGAGGGAAACATTTTTCCTACCAATTTTTTCTCTTTTTATAGACTTGTACATCTCTAGTCTTCACACAATTACAGTACAGAGCGTATAACTAGAAGATCAATGGAAAGAATTCTTCTTAAGACTTTGGAGACAGACACTGCCAGTCAGAATACCAATCTAAAATTTTATAAACCAGAGGTCTGACTCTGTTAAAAATTTGCAATTCTGGCAAAACTGAGAATAAATCTAATTTTCTAGTAGATACTTGGCTTAAAATTAGCAAAAAGACAAGTGAATGTAACTATGGGTATGTTCAAGATATAAGTAGCAGATATATAATTCTTACATTTACTATATCTATTAAACATGTTTGAAAATTCAGTCCTAAATATGTTTACTCAGTATCAAACTTCACTGACTTCAGTAGGACCAATGTCCAAATATATGTTTATAAGATTGTAGTCTTAAGGTTGTAATATTAAGATTCTTACTTTGGGGATTAAACCTGCTGAATTAATATATAAGCTTAAATATCTATATATCATAAGTCTACACTATGGCTTAAAAAAAAAAGCTTTCACATAGGTGCATAAATTGTGACTTTGGATAATACCTGGCAGCCCCAGCCACAAGGCCAACAGTGAAGGATACTAGAAGATGCAATTCAGCAATGTTTGGCAGGATTACACATTGTGTTCTCATGCAAGAAATACAGCACTTCATAATACAACTGTGCAAAAGAGTCTTAACATTTAGTTAGCTGAGTAAAATTGGGATAATGTTATGCCAAATGACTTAGCAGTCTTTAAAAAAAAATTATGCCAATCCCAGCAGTTTACAATTTATTTTAGCAGACTCTTCAATATTTTCATCATTACCATCAAGGATATTTAGCAAATTTTTGAGAATACTTTTTAGCACTAATACCATTTTGTGTAAAAGAATTATATAGACCAAATTAAAGCCACATCAATGTACTTCATTAGATTTGCAATTTCCTGACTAGATTCAAAGGTTTCTATGGTAGGGGGCAATCTTAAAGACTATCAAATAAGTTCATTTAGATATATGCTCTCCATGGTTTATGGCTCTCTCAGATGGCTTGTTAATAGTCAAAGAACTGATGACATAGGAATACATAAAGCTGCCTTCTACCTTCTATTGATAAGACTTCTACCTCACCTATAGATACTAAACAAGCCAAAAAGTTGCATGGGCTGGTGGGAGAGATCAGTGTAAGTTAACTACATGTACTCACAGCCAACTATATACTATAGTAAGTATATCACCTGGCACACATCTAGTGGCATTTTGAGTCTCGCCTTCTGCATTAGCAAGTCATGTTTTGTATTTTAAAGTTGCTTAAGTTAGCAGCAAAAAGACAGGTTAAACTCTTGACTGAGGTACCTTAAAGACCTCTTAAGAGCCAAGCTAGATATTCACAATTCTCATATGGTACAGTACTAGACTATACTGTCTTAGAATTACTGCTTATCTGAATGCTGTATCCTACCCTCTAATAAAACTTTGTACAACAGAGAAGATGCACGTGAGGAAGATGGCTAGCCAAGAATTTTTTGTCCTGACTTTTTCATGTACTCAGAGTGTGTTAGTTGCAATGTGGTTATTCACCTAAACTGTAAAGTGACTGCCATAAAAGATACATTGAATGTAGATTTGATAACAAGAAACAGACATGATCAGCAACATGCAAATTTATGAATAATCTCACTAACTAAAGAGACAAAATCCAAAGACGATATGAGAGGTATACTCTTGACTTCATCTTTAGAGTTAATGAATGACACAGAATGTTATGGATTGATTCACTTTAACAACGGCTACAGAATAATTCTGTACTCATTTCAAACTTAGAATTAATCTTTAGAAGAAATTTACTTATTTGATATTTTTGTTTACTTTTCTATTGTACCCTGATTACAATACAATGCTTGTAAGCTGTGGCATTAGTGTGTAGTTTATTTTGTACAGCATCCTCCACCACTTCCTTGAAATCTAATGTTCTAGAATCTTTACAATATACTGGTCTTTAAGAGCCATGAATATTCCTAGCTGATTTTACTCTAGAAAAAAAGTAAACACGGTTGGAAATAGATACTGTAGTATTTGGATGGGAAATCCCCAGGCCTATGCATTAGATGGGAAGTAAAGAAAAATTCCCGAAAAAGGCAATGGCAAACCATTTCCATCCTGTTGTTTAACAAACCACATGACATGCTCATTTAATCACCAAGAGTCAAGCCCAATGCAAAGGAATAATTACATTTTGATATTATTACATCATAATCCAAAAGTTATCTATGCAAATGTACATGTTGCACAAACAGATAAAAGTGGTATTACTACTTAGAATGCACTCTTGTACATATACATGTAAACCAGTGTTTCATTCAATTACCACACAGCAATTAAAGCAGACTTCTATCTATTCTAAATTCCTGAAAGCTACTCAAATGGCTTCAATATATAGACAGCCTAAGCAGCCTAGCCATAAGAACTGCTCCCTATTTTCAGAAATATGCAATGTAACTGCCTTAAATAAACAATATGTGCCAAAATAGTTGTGTTTATATTTGGGACATAACTGAACTCTCCTAACCTCTTATGCTACATCATCTCTACCTAACAATTGGCCAGAATGAGAAGATCTATTCCCACCAAAAAGATTCTGTTTTCTGTCAGAAATTGCTAAACCACAGAGAATTACAAGAATTGTCACAGAACAGAAATACAAGATTATACTTCAAAGGAAAAATTGTTATCCCAAATCTCTCTCTCCACACACACACCCCGCAAAATATTTCCAAAAAGTCTCCTTGCAGGTATGTTTATCAGCGAGCAAAGGACTAAACCCATTAGCTTGGATTCTGATTCCCTGCAGGGCATGAAGCTTGCTGGGTATCCTATGAGCCAAGCACACTCTCACAGCCTATCATACCAAAGAATTGTCAGGAAGAGGAAAAATAAAATATACCCAGATAAATCACCATTCTGAACACATGGAAAGAAAGCCAAGATACTAAAACCAAGATAAAACTATCCTGATTGTAGCTTGTTTCTTTTTTGCATGGAGTTAGTATACATAATGTTCAGTATTTACTGTCTTAAGAAGCAGAACAGATTATAATCCACTTACATAATAATCCTATACTATACACATCCCATACA